TCCATTTAAAATCATCCGAACTCGAGACTTAGATGTCTGTTTCCTGACGCAAAGTTTTATGAAGGTGGGAGTGTCGGCTTAACGCTTTAACCGCCAACATGGAGGTCACAGCTGACTCTTTGTCTGTTCACTACCCCTAGACCTACCACTGGATTGGCTCTCAGGGTCGTTGAGAAACACAATCTCCCCCAACAAGGCAAGGTGGAGATACTTCAGGGTGCGTATGTATGTATGTATGTATGTATGTATGATAAATGCTGTCACTATAGAAACTGGCTTTGAAGTATGATATACAATGAAACGACAAGAAAGATAAACGGTGCACAAAACAAACGTCTACAGACAGAGAAAATGTTGAATATTTTCTGAGTGGCAGGAAAGACGATCAGAATTCAAACCTGTCAAAGAGAAAGGGACATGTGTTTGATTAAATCGTGGTGGACATTATCACTTGTATAACTGATGATGATGAGGATAATAATGATGATGATAATAGCAATTACACTGAGTACACTGACTGTAACGGTGCTTATGTAGAGGGTAGTGATGATGACGACAACAAACACGACAACAATGATGAATGATGTTAATGACAATGAGGATAAAGAAGATGATTTAGTTCTTTTGTCACAGAAGCTGTAGCCCACTGATGTCAAGCATTGACACGACGGGCTAGTTTACTGACCAGCAGTAGGTCTGGGAGCTATGCTGGGACTTGTCATCATCAACATTGTGGTCAGTTTGTTGGCATCTGTGGGAAAAAAAGATCAAAATCAGCTGTTTATTTATTGATGATTCATCCGTTGTTTGTTTAATGACCATACATGTGTGTGTTGTTTACTGATGTTACATCAGTAAATTATTCAGTGATTATGCATCTTTTGATTATTAGGGATAATAAATACGTTGGTTGTCAAGAAATAATACATCCATAGGTAAATCGATGATGATGCATTCGTTGGTTGTTTAGTGATCGAACATGCGTAGATTGTATAGTGATCATACATCAGTGAGTTATGCAGTGATGATCTGAACTCACCACTTTACATTGGATTTATAGACTATGAAAAAGCATTTGGCAGCATTGATAGGGAATCTCTCTGGAAATTGATGGGGCACTATGGAATCCCACAGAAAATTATCAACTTAGTAAAGGCAATATATAAAGACATGAAATGTCGAGTTCTTCATGAGGGAAAGCTAACAGATGCATTTGAAATAAAAACAGGTGTGCGGCAGGGATGTCTTTTGTCGCCTCTCTTATTTTTACTGGCTATAGACTGGACTATGAAAACAGTAACTGCTAACACCAAGAATGAAATTCAGTGGACCCCTACAAAACAGCTCGATGATCTGGACTTCGCTGATGATATTGCTCTTCTGTCCCATTCACGGAATCAGATACAAGATAAATTAAATATACTTGATGCGAGATCACAGCAGCTTGGTCTGAAAATCCATAAAGTAATGTGGTTTCTCTTAATGGCACCCCACTCCAAGACGTGGAGTCGTACACCTATTTAGGCAGTAATGTAGATAAAGATGGAGGAACTGACAGAGATATTACAATAAGAATACAAAAGGCAAGGGGGGCTTTCATAGCACTAGGGAATTTGTGGAGGTCAAAAAAGAAATTAAAAGAAATACTAAACTAAAAATTTTTTATTCTAATGTCAAATCAGTACTATTGTATGGGGCGGAAACATGGAGAACAACCAGGGCAATTACTAATAAATTACAGACATTCATTAACTGGTGCCTGCGCAGAATAGAGGGAATAAAATGGTATGATAGAATAACTAATGTAGAGCTTTGGGAGAGAACTAAACAGGCTCCAGTGGATCAGGAGGTGAGGAAAAGACGCTGGCGTTGGATAGGGCACACACTGAGAAAACAGGAGAACAGCATAACTAAAATGTCTTTGCATTGGAACCCACAGGGGCATAGGAATAAAGAAAGGCCAAAAAACACATGGAGAAGAGAGCTGGAGAATGAGGTTAGAAAGATGGGGAGGACATGGGGAGTGCTGCATGTAATGGCGAAGGATAGAACGACTTGGCGTGAGTTGGTTGAGGGCCTATGCTCCATTGGGGGATAGAAAGGCAGAAGAAGAAGAAGATACACCGTTGTTTGTTTAATGATCATGTATTCAAAGGTTGTTTATTGATGATACATCAGTGATTTATTTGGTGATGATACATCTGTTGGTTTTTCAAGGATGACAAATACGTGGTCTATTTGTTGATGATACATCAGTGGTTTATTCAGTGATGTTTTATCTGTTAGTTATTTGTTTTTGTTTTTAAGGATTATAAATACGTGGGTTATTTTGTGATGATACATCAATATGTATTTGATGGTGATACATCTGTTGGTGATTCAAGGGTGGTAAATGTGTGGGTTGTTAGACGATGATATGTCCATGGCCCCTGCAGCAATTTTACATTTTATTAGTTTCGTATACTTTACAGGACGTTGCAAAACTAACCCCAGCATTTCTTTTTTTTTTTTTTTGCTGCTGTGGTTTTACTATATTTCCTTCAACAATAGATAAACACACATGCAAGCCATTTTCTCGAAAAGTGCCTGTTAGATCGCACTTATTTTTTTTTTTTTTTTTTTCATGCAGTCTTAGAATATCCATGACGCTAAGGGGAAAAAAACTGTCACCAAAGAAGAATTTCATGTGTTGATTTTTTTTCTTAACAATAAATATTTTTATCATGAAACCGTCCTGGTAGACTTTTGGAAAGTTTTCTTTCATTAGTTTCATGTAGTCATGCACACTATGACTGGTTTAACAGGGAAAGGGGGGGGGGGGGTGGGTCAAAGAAATCTTACCTCATTTTTGCAATTTTCTTGTGCAAAGTCGCACTTTTAGTGACCGAAAGCCAAAATCAGACGTCGGCCAAGGTGTTTTAGTCAAAGGCGCATCCACAAATTAATACTGAGTTATTGTGTCCTATAGCTAGCTTATAAAAGCTGACATAGACATCCACTTTAAATTGAATTTGAGACACACAATTTATGACTATGAATAAGGTTATGGTTTTACAGTGCAAGCACTTCCTCAGGGAACCTATGATGGGTCATTTATTTTGTGATATTCATGACCCAGAAAAACGAACACGATAGGCCCTTGGTCTGGATAAAGCATCATTTAACCGTTGGATTAGGCATGATTAGCAATTTTGTTTTTTTAATGACGAGATTCTGTTCCCTGCAGAATTTGAGAAGTCGTCTGCAATTGTTATTCAAAACATCTTCATCTCTCCCGATCACTCCATCCCATCTGGAGTGATCATTTCCTACTCTGGCATTTAGATCTCCAAGGAGAATCAGTTCATCGTGACAGTCATCTATTAAACTTAAGACCAGTCCGAAGCCCGGTTGTAAAAGGAGAAGGGCCTGGCTTCCTTAAGTGTTTCATTGTCTCTGGAAGTAGTGGGTAACCGTGAACCAGCCAGACGGCTTGCCTTGAGACCATAAGGAGGCAGCCCCTCCACTATGCAAAAGCACAACAGGCCAATCACCTGTTTGCCTTAATCTATGATTACAAGTTACGACAGAGAGAAAACCGGAATTATCCTAACGACAACGAACTGGCATGGCTTACGGACTGCTGTTTACGGAGCATGGAACAAACGAGGCATTAACGGGAAGGAAACTGAGGTAATAGGGCAGATGAAAAAGCAAAATTGGGAATCTTAGCCCTGATCTAAATCAAGAAAAAGAGGCAGGAAATCGCAGATCACGATGAAAGTAAGCTGCTCTATAGTGGTGTCCCTACGACGGAGAGAGCCAAGGAAAGTGGTGGCTGCATTGTGGCCAGGAATCAAGTTAGTAACATCAAGGGATGGCAATTCATCTCGGGGTGAATTATTGTGGTAGATCTGAAAGAGGAAGATTCAATTGTCAATACTGACATTGTGTACAGACCAAATGTAGACGAGGGAGTAGATTTTAAAAAAAATGAACCACAATTTATAACAGTTTACATCGAACAACTGTAGTTATCAAAGTTCTCCGTCAGTATCGTGTAGACCAGTGATTCTACATTTTATTGCCCAGGTCTGTACCCTGTAGAGGTTACTTCAGCATTGTACAACTGGGGAAACAGCAGTTAGTGGTTATAAGTGTAGATCGAGGCGCAAGGTGTTATTTCCAGCGGTAGGAGAGATAATTTATTTATTTGCCATTCCTCACACCAAAAATGTTTATTATTTCGTACTTGAATAAAACTTTAATTCAGGGCTCAATTTTTATGTACTTACTGTGTGAAGGTTTTTGCTCAAGTTAGGCATTAGGGAACCTAACGTCATCGTGTGATGTGTTTATATCTGGATCCTAAGAGTGGCAACCATAAACATAAACGTGTATACTTGACAGCAGGAGAAATTATGGACAGTGATGATTTATTCCCATATACTCTAACTGTCTTTACCGGTAAACATCAGCTAATACAGATATTGTTAAATCCGGGTGTTGATTTCCAATTGAGACTGGCTGTTTCGTCCCAGTATTGAATGATAACCGAAGTCCGTTTGTTGTGTTTATGTTAATAAATCTCATGTTGACTTTAAACCTACCTAGTCTGCTCAGATTCATTATGTTTGACTTGAATGAAGTTAAACTATCTTAAGAGACTATTATTTATTTAACATTACTATCTTGTCTTTCTGCTGTGATTAGAAAGTGAGGTTTAAGCCAGTGCACAAAAGAGAGACTCTAGAGATTGCCAGCTGATTGAGTCGCCTCGTTGAGAAGGCTGTGTCTGCCATCTCTATCAGAGCAATAAGCAAGCCACCAACACGACTGTGTGCCTCCCTCGTGTGGTGTGCAGGTGAAATATATAAATATGAGCTGGCCCTTAAGCCCCCAAGTGACAACTTGGAAAGTTGTACTGAATCTGCAGTACCCCATGTTAACATATAAACGAATACAACTGGTAGTGAACAAGTAAACAAGTAACAATAATAGCAGAAGCATTAGTAACTCACTGGGTTGGGGAGTGTTCACCACCTGCTTGCTCTGCTTCGTAGCCGCATCAACTGTGAGAATAGAATGGCGGTCATGTTATTGTTTTGAGTTGACGAATACAGCTATGTAACATGAGGCTTGTAATTATTGGGGACCATCATTGTGACACTGGTGAGATCCGTCGGTGGTATGATCTCCTTCCTATTTGAGTCATAAGCTTGTTTGACTGATCATTCCTGTTTTTATTCCTGTTTATTAATCAGACTAATAGTGCCTTTACTTAAATATTTGTATTTAGCAACTCGGGGGCGCAGTCAGACCTTAACTTTTGTTGCCTTTTGTATGTCTTTACTAAACAGTATTAAGAGGTTTGTCGCTGATTTCCTAATAGTGCTACAATAATACTATTGGTAAAATCAACGTAAATTACCTACAGCTGACATCATCCGGCAAAATATCGGTGTTGTAAAGGGCCATAACCCTAATGCTTAGACAAACACCAATGTGTTTACATTAGGCAATATAGAAAATATTCTTTTAATTAATATTAAAGAACTAACGAACGAACGAACTTTATTTTGTTATTTTCAAAGGGTAACAAATTGGGCACGCAGGCTCGTCTTACATTCGGCCCTTCCAGTCAACCATCTTTCGCACAGCAGTTGTATTTTACTAATAAAGCATGTTATAATCATATGATGATATGCATATTATGAATATTATAAAAGAACACATAAGCATGAGTTGTAAAGTGCATGCAAAAACCCGCGCGTGCATACATACACCCACATACACATGCTCACCCACTCACTTACACAAACATACATGCATGCATACATTACATACGTACATACATACGTACATGCATACATACATACACACATACATACAAACAAACATGCATACAGGCATACACACAGGCATACATACATACACACAAATATGCATACATAGATACAAACATACAGGCATATATACATACATACATACACACACACACACACACACACACACACATACCTACATACCTACATACCTAATAATACAGGTATACACACATACAAACATACAGTCGTAAATACACACACATGCACACAAGGAAACTCCCACAGAGACACACACACTCACTTAGACAAAAATACAGACACACACACAGACACACACACGTATTTACATTCGTGCTCACACACACCACACACACACACACACACACACACACATACTCAGACAAACATGCAGACACATACATACAGCCACATAGACACACACGCAGTCAAACACACACACAAATACAAACAGGCAGACAAACACATACTGACACCCACACTGACAAATACGCAGAAATGCATACACATATACAAACACATAGAAATACACACGCAGACACATATATTCAGCACGCACAGACATATACTCTGACATGCAGACACATACAGACAACAAAGGGGCACACACAATACACACAGAGAAACACATATAGACATACACAGACAGACAGACACATGCTGACACATACACTCACGCAGACAGACATACAGACACCCACACACAGAGATACACACATACAGACTCATAGACACACCTGCATACAAAATACATAAACATACACAGGCAAACATGCAGACAAACACATAAGGGGACAGCATAGACACAAACGAATATATATATATTTTTTTAAACGTATCCAGAAACCATGAGTTGTAAACCCTTTGGCTCGGTACTATGGATATCGCAACCCTTCGGCATTGATTCCATTATAGGTACCGTTAATCTGGGAGAAATGTGGCTTTTCTGCCCACCCCCGGGAGTGAACCCGGACCACAAGGAGTTCGTCACCCGGCCGCCGCGTAAGTCAGGTTTAACCAACTTCGCTAGAGAGCCGGGCAAACGAATATATAAACACAGTCACATCAAATATGCAGAAAAACACCCGACACGCACACATGCAGACAAACAGTGGTGTAGGCAGCCTACCTGAAAAGTAAACCACGATGGCGGCAACAGAAAGAACACCAACAAGGCTGAGAGCGATCATCAGCATTCGTTTTCTAGGGTTGCATATCGTCTGCTTTGTTTCCTTGGTTTTCATTTCCGTGTCGTTATCGTTGTTCGAGCCAGCCATTTTTTCTTTCAGGTTGTTCCCTGGGGAAGAGATCGTTGAAGATATAAATTGTGTACGTGAGCACATTTTATGTTGTAAATTACTGAAAAAGCAAATGAATTGTAAATATGTGAGCCGATTCTGTAAATTGTTAAGATATAAATAGATTTCTTCAATCTCCCTCCTGCTCCTCCTCCTTCTTCTTTTCCTTCTTTCTTTTTCTTCTTCTTCTTCTTCTTCTTCTTCTTCTTCTTCTTCTTCTTCTTCTTCTTCTTCTTCTTCTTCTTCTTCTTCTTCTTCTTCTTTTTCTTCTTCTTCTTCTTCTTCTTCTTCTTCTTCTTCTTCTTCTTCGTCTTCTTCTTCTTATTTTTCTTCTTCTTCTAATTCTTCTTCTTCTTCTTCTGCTTTGTTCCTCCATAAAATTACTGTTGGCACATTATTTTGTGGTTCACAGCTAAGCTGCAATACATGCGCTTTTTCAAGCAATACATCCGATTTGAGCAAAACCTTAATTTGTTGTCTGTCGCGACATGCTTGCTAGATGCTTGCAGTGTGTTTCTTCTTTCATCTGTTTTTATTTCAGCTGATTCTGTAAACTGCTGACCTTGTCAATAATGAAAAGAATTTATTGTGTTAGTTTGTTTTTTTTTTTTTCAAGTTGTTCATAGTATACGGCAAGGGAATTGTGTTTGTTGTAAGGGCTGTTTTACAATGTAACATTTTAGAGAGGTAAATGAATCGTAATAGCTACGTAGGCAACACTTTTGTTTTAATGTTGTATGCCTCATTCTCTCCAGTCTAAAATAATGTTGTAGAAGTAATACGAACTACATAGCATCGCCCCCAAGAAACTGTTTGTAGAAGTTGAGCTGAGTTAAGTTGAGTAAAGAAGTGATATCACAGCACTCGGGGCATTCCCATGCATATTCCGTCCTCATCTTTAGCAGCCACATAACATCGCCCACACGAAACTGATGTAGAAATAAAAGAAACCAAATAGCATCGCTTCCAAAAAAACTGTTGTAGAAGTATTACAAACCACATAGCATCGCCTCCCCTCCCCCCCCCCCCCACCCAGACCCCCCCCCCCCTCCCCCCCCCCCCCCAAAAAAAAAAACATGTTGTACAAGTAATTGAAACCACAAAGAATCGCTACCTAGAAACTGTTGTAGAAGTCACATAACATCACCCCGAAGAAACCGTTGTAAAAGTAATGCAAACCACCTAGCATCGCCTTTAAACGAACTGTTGTAAAAGTAACACAACCACATAGAAAGAAACTGTGGTAGTAGTAAAACAAAAAACCACATAGCATCGCTCCCAAGAAACTGTTGTAGATGTAAAACAAAATACATAGCATCGCCTCCAAGAAACTGTTGTAGAAGTATTACAAACCACATAGCATCGCCTCCAAGAAACGGTTGTAGAAGTATTACAAACCACATAGCATCGCCTCCCCTCCCCTCCCTTTCCCCCCCCCCCCTCTCCAAAAAAAAAAAATATGTTGTACAAGTAATTAAAACCACAAAGAATCACTGCCGAGAAACTGTTGTAGAAGTCACATAACATCACCCCGAAGAAACCGTTGTAAAAGTAATGCAAACCACATAGCATCGCCCTCAAACGAACTGTTGTAAAAGTAACACAATCACATAGCATCGCCCTCAAACGAACTGTTGTAAAAGTAACACAACCACATAGCATCGCCTCCAAGAAACTGTTGTAGAATTAAAAGAAACCACACAGCATTGCCTCCAAGAAACTGTTGTAGAAGTAATATAAACCACATAGCATCGCTTCAAGCGAGGCTCTATTAAAAAAAAATTATGAAGTATAAACTTTTGTGATTATAGTTACGAATCTATCTACACGTAAAGATAGCCTGTCTAGAAAGTAAGCTGCGACGAAATTCCCACGAGGTCTGCGTCTCCACCTTAAGAAGCCAGGGCAGCGCCTTCTAAATGTGTTTACTTACTGGACAGGATCTGAGACAACGATTGGAATCTGATTGAGGCAGATGAAACACACAGTAGTCAGTTGCTTTTTAAAATTGTTGAAAATATTCAATTTTTTATTAAATCTATCATAGGAAATTTGACTAACAGCCCGTTTATTTATCGAATTGTGTTCGTTACTAATTTCAGTGGCCCATTTTCATTTACAGTAGTTTCGTCCATTTTTAGAATTATCAAGAATACGAATCTACATTCGACTAGTATTTTTTTAATGCATCTTTATGACGAGTACATCTGTAATATTAACAAGGAGAACACAGCTTCATAATCCTGAAATGCCAGGACTCTTTTTGTCTGGTTCCAAATGCGAATACCACCTTCAACCTTATTCTACGGCTTGGTTGGATTTGTGAAGACTTCACATGTTTCTCTTTCATAGGATTTTGACTTTGAGCCGTCAATTTTCCTGACTGGCAAGCAGGCAAGTATTTCTACTGATTGTGTGGTTTTTACTGGATCGGGAGGGGTGGACTGACAGACCTGAAAAGGGCTATCAGATTTTCCTGAGGCGGCTTTGCGTCAGATAAAGATGGGCGTATTTATGCTAGTGTTTTTCTCGTGGTTGTCCAACTTCGTCTTGCCTGGCTAGTCTCGCGCTGGAGGGTTTTCGAGGTCAGTGAGCTGGTTGGTCTGCTGTCATGACGGTACTGGTTTTTAAGTGCTTCTGATTGGTTGCCTGTTTTCATATATATATATATGTGTGTGTGTGTGTGTGTTGAAATTATTACACCCTTTTTCAGAGATTTTCATGGCTGACTTGGGTGTCCCTGTTTCACCATTCTAACTGGCGAGCTTTCATGTTTGTGTGATTAGTAGGTGTAATCTGTGTTAACATGGCTATGATAGTATACTATCATAATGATAGTATACTATCATGACCTGGGAGCTATCTTTTTATAGTAGTGGGGGTGTCCAGCCAAGTGTTTCAAGGCATACTATATATTTTGTAGTGCCATAGCTTGAGTTGCCCTACTCCTGAAATAAGTTGGGCGTATATTGGTCACGGGATCTCCCCTAGACCAATACGAGCCAACGCCTCAACATTATTATTTCAGAGTGCTGTTGGTTCTTAAGGAGCAATCCTTAAATCAGGCACGCGACACCGGTCCCTGCATCCTCTGGTTCAGGTAATCAGCGTCTGGTAAGTCTTCACCCTCGGTTGTGACTACTGCGACTGACGAAGGGTTGTGCTTTGAGCCGAGCCTCTCAGGTTTGGTGAATTGGATTTTTGGATTGTCTTTCCTTAGCTGCTTGAGTATTTCATCGCTGCTCAAATGTAAGTTGAGTTTCCTCACAACCCACAAGCTGATGTTCTAGAACAGTCATCTCGTTGGGTAGCTTAAGTTCGTGTTTGCTGTTCTTCTTGTTGTATTCAACGTATTCAATTACCAGCTCATCGGTTTCGTTCTATTCAACATAGCGATCACGCCTTTTCGTGTTTTCTTGGTTCTTGCGGCCGCATGCTTGCTGAGTATGGTTTCTAGTAGATTCATCACCGTCAATGTGGTCAGGGTGGTAAATGCTGCTTGGCCTGCGCTGGTCTGGCGGATGAATATCGTGACTGGGAACTTGTAGCTGCCGGTCCGGTGCCTCTCAAGTGATACAGATCAGGGGTGCCAATGGGATTTTGTTGTGTGTGTGCCTGTGTGTGTGGAAAAACCCAGCTAAACTTAACAAAAACCCAGGCAATACATAGGCAAAGAATAATAACAACGAAAAACCCAGATTGTTTAAAAGTGCAAATTTTATAGTTACGAAACGAAACATTTACCCACTTTTAATAAAGGATCTATTTTTTTTTTTAACCTGGAATTCAAAATCTGAACCCAAGGCGTCAAATAAAAAGCCAGATCTCGGGAGAAAACCCCTATCATTAGCAGCCCTGATACAGATGGCTCTGGGTGGGTTACATCACCGCCTTCTCCAGATACGCCTACAAACTAAATCACGTGACTTTTTGGCCAAGTCTCCTCGAAAATTGGTTACTGGTAGCCGTTTCCATGTGTTGCATTGTGTGACATTTTAATGTGCTTACAAAGTTGTGTGTTCTGAACGTATTCGTATTACTTATCAACAAGCTGATATTGTGAAGTGGATTTACAAGATTTTCAAACTTTGCTGTTAGATTACAGCAATCTGAATTTAAATTCACGGGAGACAGTCGTATTTTGATGTGTGTGTCACTGTGTCTAGTCAGCAGTTTTGATTTTTTTGAACAGGCTGTTTATTCTTCTAACCAAACACCGCAAATATTTTACTTGTTTCACTCATGCTGTGTATGCTGTCAGTGGAACCCGTTAGCTTTGGACAGCAGTCGATCTAGGAGACTGCAAACTCCGAATATAAACCCCTAAGTTCAAGGTAGGCCAACGTGCTGAGGGACTGGATGGCCACGGGTGAGCTGGTCGTGAATGTTGGCCTTCTGGCGAGTGTGTGGGGCGGCACCAGGTGTATAGACTCCTACGCGACATCCATTGCCCCTTCCCTAGCAGGCAGGCAATACTAGAGTGACCGGTTATTTCCTGCAGTACCCTTTTTTCGCATATGGGTTTTAAAAATATACATAGGAATCGTCGCTGAAGCTACAAGGCACGTGCTCTGCACTTGACACATTTTTCAGCATTTCGTGAAGAGAGAGTGAGGAGAATACGACGTGGGAATGAGGAGAGAAGAAGGGATAGGAATAGAAGAGCAGGTGCTAGGAGAACAAGACGAAAAGCGGAGAGATTGGGCTTCAATCATGTAAGAGTAGGATATTGGAACTGTCGAAGTGCTAGGCAGAGAGGTCCTGTACTGGAGATGTTGATCTTTGATTTTGATGTCCTCATGCTCCAGGAGTTAAATACAGACAGATATCATTGCCCTGGGTACGTCAGTTATATAAACCCTGTTGGACAGGAGAGACATGGACAAGGTCTGGTGGTAAAGAAATTAGTGAAGCATGTGGTGCTTGACATGAGCCACTGGAACCACAGCAGAAGAGAGGTTTAAGGAATACAGGTGGAGATCGGTGGTTTGAGACGGAACCTCATAAATATATATGCCACGGTAGACTGTTTTGTCAGAAGGGAACAATGGGGCTGGCTCGAGGCATTGGAAGAGTTACCAGGTATTAGGTTACTTATATGTGGGGATTTCAACGCGAGGAACAGAGAATGGAACAGCAGTGGAGAAAACTGACAAGGAATCGCTCTTGAAGAGGCCATGACTGACTCTGATATGGTCTGCATCAATGATGGGAGGCCGAGTAGAATGGTAATGAGGTCTGGAGATGCAGACACAGCCATTGACTTGACATTTGTCTCCCAGTCGTCGGTTTTAGATGTTAAATGGACTGTCCTGAATGACCGTGGGAGTGATAACCTACCATGTTCAGTCCTGATTTCTAAACCCAGTAATGTTAAAGCTGTCAGAGCACACAAGACGTATTAGTGGACCAACAACCTACTTGGACGCCTCAGACAGGAAGCATGAAATAGATTTGCCAGAACTAATTCTCCACAGCACCCATGGTGGACTCCAGAAGTAGAACAGGCGTGGAAGGCAAAGATAGCCGCAGTGATGCAGTTAAAGAAAATACAACAGACACCCTCAAGCTCACGAGAGGAAGTGGAGATGGCGGAGAATGTGAAAAAAGATAAGATGGAGGTTTTTAAGCACTGTGCTGCACAGGTCAAAAGAGCAAAGTGGGAAAATTGTGCGAATGATATGGGTGGTGATAAAACATTGGGGAAATTCTGGAAACTGCAAAGGCAGATGCAAAGAAAAGATCGGCCTATGACAATGTGAACAATCTATAGAGGCTATAGTGTGCGTATGACAACAGACAAGGAGAAAGGGGAGGCTTTTCTCCATAGATCATAATGATGTTGACATCAGGGATGCATTTAGAGAGGAGTTAGCTGGCACCTTAAAAAATTTGCACTATGAAGACATGATACGAGTAGAAGATATCAAACAAATTTTGAAACAAGCAAAGGACACTGCACCAGGGCATGATTGGGTCAGGTATAGCCACACGAAGGCTTTGAGCGATGTGGACCTGGCGGAGATGGCTGCTTGTTTTAACCAGAGCATTAAGACAGCAAAAGTACCGTAGGACTGGGTGCACAGCTATCTAATCCCACTACTAAAATCGTTTAATGATCATTCAAAGCTCAGTGGCTTTAGAATCATTACCTTACAAAACACATTTGGAAAGGTCTTTAAGAAGATTGTTGCGGTAAAGCTGGAAGAATTTTTGGAAAGGGGGAAGCTTCTGCCAAGAGGTCTGGGAAACTACAGGCCAGGAAAGAACACATGGGCAAATGCAGCCACTTTTGCTTTTGACGTCTTTGAAGAGTTCCAGAACAGACAGGAAACTATGGGGGTAGGACTGGATATCGAGGATGCTTACAACAGAGTAAGCTACGACATCTTGATGACTGCACTGAAGGAGAAGGAGGTCAGTCCATGGATGGTGAATTGGATTGCATCTGTCCTGTATTCACGTCGAGCTGCTTTTCGACTGGGCTTATGTGCCTCAGAACCATACAGTTTGGCCACATGACTGCCACGGGGATCTGATATCTCGTCTGTGTTCTTTAACGTGTATACGAGCAAGATTGCAAGTCTAGAAGCACCAGGAGTTGGAAGGATACTGACTTTTATGGATGATATACTTGCATATAGGCAGGGGAAGAGAGGGAACAAACAGCCCGAGGGCTACAAGCGACAGTGGACAAAGTAACTATGTGGTGTACAGAAATGAGGGCTGTCGTCCACCCTGAAAAGGGGTCTGTTTTGTGGTGTTCTCTGGACAACAGGGTCGTTAAAGGTAATGTCCCAAGTCTCACGACAGATGGTAGAAACACCAACAGAGAGAGCAAACTGAAGTATCTGGGAATTACACTTGACAGGAGCCTGTGGAGAGTGTTGTGACAAGATGCAAAAAAAAGGACTTTTTTTTTTGCAATTAAGACCATGGCTGCAGTTGACATTCACACTATATCAGCACCTGATCCTGTCAGTGGTTGATTATGGCCTGGGATTTCTTACCGTCTCAAAGAGCCAGATGGACAAACTAGAGCGCATACAGAACGCAGCAATGCGGGTAATTCTGGGTTGCACCAGAGACACCCCAGTGGTGTGTATGCAATACATCCTTCTTTTTTCGACTGTTGCAGGTAGGCACAAGGTGCTGCAGGTGAATTTATATCTCAGGGTAGCTGCAGATATAGACCACCCTTTGCACGAAGCTCTTGGTGCAGTTAAGGGTCAGCGACTGATAAGAGGGAAGTCATGAATGGCTCAAGCAGAAGACACAATCAGACAGGTTTGCATCCTTGAGAACATTAGGCGAGGAGAGTAGTGGGTCATAATGCCACCTGAACATTCAGACTTGTGTAGGGTTATAACCACACTGAGCCGGGAATGCAGAGACTGGCCAGCAGGTGCCACAGAGGTGGAAATTCAGCAGTTAATTCCAGATAATGCTCGCTCAGAAGATTTGATCATTTACACAGACGGTTCAGTGTCAAGAGGCCAAAGAAGTGTTTGGGGTTTTTTAGCAAACGTTAATGACCGACGTTTGGTACAGGAGAGCCTAGCATATGATACCACAACATCCAGCTTAAGAATGGAGGTGGAGGCGGTCACTGCGGCTTTCCGCTGGATAGAGAAAACGACTCACACACACACATCGTGATTGTAACTGATTCAGAAAGCATGCTGAGGAAGATTAGGACAGGCATGCTCCGTGCAGAGTGGCATGCTTCACTGCGGAGGACACGGGTGAGTAGTATTGTCTGGATTTTTTCACCAGTGGATGCCGATGCATTGGGAAATGAACAGGCAGACAGACTGGCTGGCTCTGCACAGTTTGGTAGAATACTGATGCATGATAAGGCAGACGTGGTTAGTGCCTTGTGAGTGAGCTTTCACAGTTCCGAGGAGCAGATTGATAACCACAGTGTGGTGAGATTGATGCAGTTGGGGGGTGACGAGAGGTTTTGGCAGAAGCTCAAGGCTCAGAGGAAAGGCAAGACGGACGTTTAATCAAAATGCTACTGGCACCATTAGTATCACAACTCTTCGCTGGCTGCTGAAGATGGGGACGGAGCGCCTATGGGAATGCCCCGAGTTCTGTGTTGTCGGTTCTTGAATCAAATCAAATCAAATCAGTTTTTACTTCGAATGTGGAAATCTTAATGTGGTGAAAAATACAAACAAGTAATTTAGAAGCCATATCTGGGGAATATCGACAGTTTTCAGGTGCAAACTATCTTGTGTTGGAAGAAAACTATTGCTTTTATATTTACTGTGCATAAATAGTACTACTACACTCTGGATAAATTGTGTCAAGATATTTCGGAGCTCGGGGTAAGTGGATAAAAATAATATTTACCAAACTAACCTCTCACAGCAAGTCACTATTTGTCTCTTTACTAATTGTTGCCTAACAGTATAATTATATGTTGTAGAAGTACATTAATATCAATTCTCAACCATTTGTGTTCATTTTTGTGAATCGTCTTCTGCTTAGCGAACTCTGGCAGAAACTTCTGGTTGTTCATCTACTTCTCATGCATATTTGCAGTTGTATGGTCTGTGTTCATTTTTTGTGAATCGTCTTCTGCTTTGCGAACACTGGCTTTAAACTATAGCAGAAATTTCTGGTTGTTCATCTACTTCTCATGCATATTTGCAGTTGTATGGTCTGTGTTCATTTTTGTGAATCGTCTTCTGCTTCGCGAACACTGGCTGTAAACTCTGGCAGAAACTTCTTGTTGTTGATCTACTTCTGGGCTTTAGTCTTGTTCCAGACACTATTTTAAATGAGACCCGGTATCTATATGGGAAATTTTGTGTGTTTGATATGTGTATGTTGCACACCGGTTGCAGTTATATGGTCTTTTTTAATGTTCTTTTATTACCTTTAAAATAATATACCATTCATGATACTTATATGCATTGTTGCATGCAGTATTCAGAAATATGTGTAATGTATTTTTAAACAGTTACCAAAAAATTCACAATGATAAGGAACTGATTTTATCCAACAAGATGAAACTGGACAAATTTGTTTGTGCTGTGTGTACCTTGAGGATAAATATTTAGTAGTGCTATAAGTACTGTTCAGAAAACTGCTTTGAGTGAAACATTATTGCACATATCACTTTCATATTGACTGTGCTTGTTTACTAATCATTAAATAACAATATAATTATATGTTGTAGTAGTCTACTAGTAGTAATAATAACCATCAATCATTTATATTTATGTTATGTATGGTATGTGTATGTTTCACAGCAGTATTTTCATGTGCTAAACTTAATGAAGTACAAATTTCACTCTCCCCCCCCCCTTCCCCCCCTCCCCCCCCCCCCCGTCCTCTAATGCAATAACCTCTCAGAATCAATGAGTTTGCACTAATATTTCTTTGCTTTTTCTGTAATAACTTCCAGTTTATATCTATACTTTTTTGATGTTCATGTTCATGCTGCCTGTAGCAAAAGTATTTCTATATATGTAAGAGCCTTTACTGTTATATTTTAAAAGCACACTTATTTACCTTCAAAATGACATATAGTTCTATAAAATATGTCGCAAATTTATGAAACTGTAGTGTAATTTGTATATACATCTTTTCGATTAAAAACTGTGGACACACAGGGACTCCATACTTATACAATCCCTGTTGACCCAGTTGGCCTATATCCAAATGGAAACGCTTCCAATAACCAATTTTCGAGGGGACTCTGCCAAAATGTACCGTGATTTAGTCAGAAGGACCTATATCCTGAAGGACCTGGTTTGACGAGGCTATTTTGTAAACACTGACAATAATTGGATAGTCCGTTAGACACACACACCTATAACACTTACCAATGACGTGGTTCGCTGAAAACTCTGACTGTCTCATGTCTAGAATCAGAAAATAAATAAAAAATCTTTACTCTTGATAATGCTGTATTAGGAAACTCAAAACTATACAATTTTACGATAGCGAGGGGTTCGTAGAAAATTAGTTTAAAACAGGCTACTCAACTTGGAATAGACAAGTAACTCTTAGAGTACCAAGCAGATGTAATATAACCCATTTTGTCATCCAAATGGGTTTCCTTTACACCATACGTGTTTTAATCATTTCTTGTTCTTCTGTCTTTTATACTTCAGTGGATCATTGGTTGTCAACCTTCTCACGCTATTTTATTCTATCCATCGCTATTCCGTGCAGCTTACCACATGTCCTCCATATCTTTTAATGGCTCCAGCTTCTTGCTTTACCCCCACCCCTTCCCCCATATGTTGGTTTCCTGGAAATCTCTTGTTTCTCCTTTCGATTTTTGTTCATGGTTAAATGATTTGTGAGGCTATTGTTGTTATGCGTTGAGGTAGCCAACCACAATAATAATAATAATAATATAAACTTTGAAGCGAGATCATGCACATCAGGAGTCTACCGATAATCGTATGTGTCTCCCTTTCACCAATTCTTTGGGCCCGTTATCATTCTGGACAATCTCGTATTCGGGGGGGGGGGGGGGCAAGGCGGCGGACCGACGTGGGCCATGACTTATAGACCTCAGATTTCTCCTGCTGCGCTCTATCGACCAAAACGTAATGGTGATTTGCAACAGGTACAGAGGTTATGGTGTTACACATCGTGTTATATTCTCGAGCTTTTTCTTAGTATATTTGGGGAGGCCTTAGACAACGACCGGGAACACACGAAAAAAAACGGGACTATCAGAGTGAAAAACGGAGTGGTAGCGTCTAGTCAAGTTGATGATGTCATCCCCATGGACCTATCTGGCAGCTTTGGCCTATCCATCCTGGTCGCGTGAGCAGTCGGTCAGACTGATAACGTGTGCTATCGATAGTGAGGATGTTGATCAGTTTCCACTGAAATCTATCTAAATTAGGCGTCACCGGCTTCATTGCTGGTTATCGTTGACTGGTGCTGGAGATAAGGATGGTAATTTCGGTGATGGTTGGTTTAACTGGTTAACTAGTTCATATGGAAGGAAATATTATAAAACCTGTCGCTGATAAAGTGCAGCAAGAAGATCGCATTACACCCAGAAACGTAGGTTGAAGTGTTCGGTACTGAACGAGTTTATAACACATCTGTCTGCTGGTAATATCAACAAAATATTTCAATGCGTGCTTGGTTCAGACTGGCTTAAAACAATAGTTCCTTTAGAGACTGGATAAAAGAAACAACTGGCGTAGTGTGAGAAACTGTCCGGTGTGGCATGGAGAGTGTTTTATGTGAGCCGAATGAAACAAACGCAGGGCCAGTCGCTCGGTGCCGACAGAATTAAAACATCAGAAAATAAGCTAGATTCTGATAAAATCATCCAAATAACCCTTAAGGAAACACTGGCAAAGATTTTTTTTTAAATTTTTCATGCAATTATTAAATGTAGTAGTAGTAGTAGTAGTAGTAGTAGTAGTAGTAGTAGTAGTAGTAGTAGTAGTAGTAGTAGTAGTAGTAGTAGTAGTAGTAGTAGTAGTAGTAGTAGTAGTAGTAGTAGTAGTAGTAGATTTTACCCATCTAGGACATCACACAAGCGATAAACACCCGATAACACGAAGTGCCACAATGTGGATGAGGATCACCCGTGGAGAGGCCCCAGAAACCCGCGTTCAGTCATTAGACCATATTTATGGCTGGGTTATATTGCGGCTCCTGGCAAGAGCTAGGGTGCGGCTTGAAAATAACGAAAAATTGCATCCCACAAGGAGATGACTGACAATAACAGTATTACATTTAATCTAGAATATTTGTGTGTGAAGTATTGGAAATAGAACAGATGTGCACACATTTGTCGCCCCCCCCCTTTCCCCTCAATCCCCAAATCCTCCTTTGAGCCTCACAGTATAGTTTGTGTTGTTTTCAGATAGCTGGACTGCAGTTATTCCCAAAAAAGATATGCCCTTGCACTCTAGTTAAACCAGGACAAGTCCAATTTCAAAAACAAAAATGTATGCAAACAAACAAATGTCAAGCATAACAAGATGCAGGGCAGATAAACTATACATGTAATAATTCCCAGATTTTCGATGCGATACTTTCCCTTTAATTGACTGCACCGACTGACTGACCGACTGACGTTCACCCTTACCAGGACCGCAAGGGGAGCGATAAACACCCGGCAAGACAAAGTGCTACCATTTAGATGAGAATCGCCCGAGCGCAAGTCCTAGAAACTCGTTCAACCCGTACATTTCCCCCCCCCCCCCCCCCCCCCCCCCCCCCCGACGACAGCCGGAGAGAGTCTTTAAAATAACAAAAAATGTGCCAAATAATGGGACGGTGGATAAGGTGTACTTATTTTAATTGGTTCATTAAACTGTACCTTACTGCATGCTATTTAAAAGTATTGTGGTTGTTCACATATGAATACAAATATATTGACTCAACAGGCTTATGGCGGAAAAGTCAAGTGTCCTTGTTATTTCAGTGACGCGTCCGGCGATAAGGTTACATTTGTCGAAGTACATGTGTTCCTACTGCGAATCACCGGAAGTCATTTAAAAATATTAGGTACATACCCTGTGTAATAACTTAGGATTGTGTGTGGGTTTTTTTTTTTTTATTAGTAAATACTCTAAAGTCAGATAACAGCTAATCTGGTCAACGGTCAGTATCAAGAGACGATTCTTCTAACCTGCTACAGTATTCCAGATGTTGTCTTGTCTCCTACAGATGTCAGAGTGCCGAGAACGAGGGCTCGTCGAGATTTATGTGACGGCTGCGGGCGGTTCTCGCAAGACAAGTTTCTTATTTGGTTGTCAGCGAGGGCTTTGTGTAGTCTAGCGTATGATGCTGCCGTGAGTCGGCGAGATGCTGCTACATGTAAGTGTAACTTTCCAACAATTACCACAGAAGTCAATAGGTTAAGCAAGTAGGATCCTTTTCATACAAATGATATATTGCTAGTGCTAGACCTATTTTTATACAGAGCAAACTTCACTCTGTAGGTCACTTGGTCGACGTCATGCCTTCTGTCTTTTCTTCCCAGGACAGTTTCTTGAAACAATTTTAAGCTGCATCGACCAAAGGCAATTATAAAATGGATTCGATCACAAGATATTTGGACAGGCAGGCAGACAGGAAAGCGTTTAACCGCTATTCCACTATGACTTCCAGACAAATTTTGCAGTAAAAGACAATATAACAAAGTGACAGAAATTGGTTCGACAATCGTAGACAAGGCACATGAAATTTCGCTTGACTCTTCTGGTCCCATAAGGTTTTTGTACAAAATAATTATTTTTAATTCAATATCCTTTATTTATTTTTTTATTTTTGTCTTCTTCTTGTGTCTACTCCTAGAATGCCTCGCGGCGTCAGGGGAGGAAGAGATCTCTGGAACGGGCCCTTCTGTTCGTTTCGTAGATAATACTTTTCAGTGTCTCTGATATTTCTGCGGTCAATGTTCTGCGTAGTCGACGTCTGGGTCTGTTACCACTGTATCTGTGTAACATTCCTCTCTGTGGTGCCCTGTCTGCTGCCAATCTTGTTACATGGCCAAAAAATTTGATTTTTCTTTTTTTTTTTTTTGTCTACCTTTAAAGTTCTGTTAATTCTTCTCCTGGTATAACCGTTCTTAAGTCCATCATTCCTCGGTGTCACGTACCGCTCGTGTCGCGTGCCTGATTTAAGGATTTCTCCTTAAGAACCAACAGCACTCTGAAATAGAATAATGTTGAGGTGTCGCCTCGTATTGGTCTAAAGAGTATCCCGTGGCCAATATACACCTAACCTATTTCAGGAGTAGGGCAACTCAAGCTATGGCACTACAGAATATATAATATTCCTAGGCGCTGGACATCCCCACCACTATAAGAAGATAGCTCCCAGGCTATGATATTGTAATATCACAGCCATGTTAACACAGATTAAGATTAATGGTTAAACATACATAAACTCTAGACAGTTTGAACAGTGAATGATGGACACTCAAGTCAATAGTGAAAACTTCCAAAGACAGGTAATAAATGCAACATATATATATATATATATATATATATATATATATATATATATATATATATATATATATATATATATATATATATATATATCATTAGGACTCAAGTGTAGAGGTTCCAGTGCCACTGGAATCAGGAACTTGAACTCGAAGATATACTTCTGACGTAGCCAGAGACCCTTTGAGATTGTCTGTGATCACTATTGTAACTCAGAGTGCACCTGTAAATAGAGCATAAGGCATTACACCCCAGAGTTCTACTTATCCAAGTTTGGTAGGCGTCACTGCACTCGTTGGTTCATGATGATCTGAACAGGCTGATTCGGCTGGAAAGCTCCTTTCGCCGGTTGCCTTGGTAAAGACACAGAGTTCATACACTGGAACAGAGTTCATACACTGGAATAGGGTTCATACAATGGAACAGCGTTCATACAATGGAACAGAGGTCATACACTGAAACAGAGTCCTAGACACACAAGGTCGCCTCCTCACAGTACAGATACTAGAGGCACAGTTAGGAACATCACTTCTTCTTGGCAGTCGGGCAGAAAATGAAGTGGGACTCTAGGCGTCACTTTCAACAAAGTAGCCCGCGAGATTAATGCGCCGAGGAGTATAAAGGCTTCTCGGAATTCTGAATAATAATCCAGAAAATTTATATCTCACAACTTAAGTTTAAAAATGTAAACTTCACAAGACATCTAGAGCATATAGAAATACCTATTACACCAGATAAAGGTATAAATAGATATGAGGGACTAAATACCCACCGGACGGGGTCTATATTTGAAATGTGACTTGCTTGCTTGGGGGGTTAACGTCACGAATAGTCGAATGTTCAGGGGTGGGTTGGATCACTTCACGACACTAGGTACACCTAGCAAAGTACGTAAACAATTCGTATCTGTCGTGACTATTT